AATCTAGTGGTACAACCGTCCCCGTGAAATATAGTAAAGAAAGTGTAAAGTAAGTGTTAACCCTAAGTGTAAAAAAAACTAACAATCGGCGTACTTTTATTTCTTCATATTGTTAGGCGACCAAAATCAACTAAATGAACCTTATTAGTATAATCTATGTTATCGACAGCACTAGCTGTCATATTGACGATGTCATCTGTCAAATGTAACAGATTAGTAAAGTTTCCCGCGCTAACAGTGGTAACGTGCTATTCTGGAGGGAAGTTTGACGAGCATCACGCTGTGTTCTTATAAGAATCAAATAAGAATAAACTTTTCAGTATTAAAATATTGAGTTTTACTTAAAAATACCTACATATAAAATTGCAGCATTTTACTAAAAAGTCCTTTCAGCACGATTTCGTTACTGAACTGAGTTCACCGCTCCAAGTGAAACAAGTGAAACAAGTGAATTTATTTCTGCAGATAGGCTACAAGGCAGCACTTTTACACGTCAATTTTATCAAGCGAACGATGAGGTCGACATTTCCTAACTGACTACTCTGAGAAGAAATGCCGAAACAAACTCAGAGGTCTGTCTCTTTTAAAGTCCAGACAATATGTATAACAGATTATGTGTGAGAACCGTGCCAGTTCTTTCTGTAGTGGGCTTTTGAGGAAAGAACCACAACAGTTTGAGCGGACCCGTTCTGAAGGCAGTACGCATGTGTCGGTTTACAGTCAGCTCAATTAACAGGTGAGGCTGACTGATTCGACGAACAATACCAACCTAAAGAACATTTGCGTGGGTCGCACAAATACTCAAACTGTCAGAAAAAGGGTAATTAGAAAAGAAATGGTGAGGCAAAGTCTCGCACGGTCCTAGCACTAACAATTGTTAAATAAAAAGTAAATGTCAAGTTAGAACAACATATGAAAAACAATGTCACATTAAAACAATAATGTCAAATTGCATATAAAAAAAAGAAATGTAACTATATGTTACAAACATGTCAACATGACCTGTGTGGACGTTACAGCAGCTTATTCCCAAGCCAGACTATCATCTAGGTAGTCTTTTATTTTATAATAAGCTTTACTATAAAATTTATCTTTAATGACATTTTTAAATTTATTTAGACTCAAATTTTGGATATGGCTGGGAATCTTATTGTAAAAGCGTATACTCTGACATCTAAACGAACCACTTATTTTCTTTAGTCTAGTAGTGGGAACAACATATTTGTCTTTATTTCTCGTGTTTATATTATGTATATCACTATGTTTTTTAAATAAACTTTTGTTTTTATGAGCATATACTAAATTTTCATAAATGTATTGAGAAGCAACCGTCATTATATTAATTTCTTTAAATAGTTCCCTGAGAGAGTACCTCGGACTAAGATTATAAATTGATCGAATGGCCCTCTTCTGCAGAACAAAGATAGATTGAATGTCAGCAGCATTCCCCCATAAGAGAATACCATATGACATAACACTATGAAAATAACTAAAGTATACTAATCGCGCTGTATCTACATCGGTTAGATTTCTAATTTTTTTAACGGCATATGCTGCAGAACTGAGCCTTTTCGATAACTTATTTATATGTGGAGCCCACTGGAGCTTAGCGTCTAGGGTTATACCTAAAAAGACAGTAGAATCTACAGGGCTCAACTCCTCACCCTTAATGAGCACGCTGGTTTTCACATGTCCAACATTTGGTGTTGTAAATTTAATGCATTTAGTTTTAGTTCCATTTAGTAATAGGTTGTTGGCATTGAACCAGCGTACTATCTCCGAGAGAGCACTGTTCACATTATTATGCAACACCAATCGTGCCGGTCGTTAAAAAAGACGGTACCATTAGAGTCTGCGCCGATTTTAAACTAACCCTAAATAAAGTGTTAGAAGTCGACCGTTATCCATTACCTAAAGTAGAAGATCTTTTGTCGCGTTTACACGGAGGAGAAAGATTTAGTAAAATAGACTTGTCACAGGCATACGCTCAGTTTGAGCTGGATGATAGTGAAACAAGTGAAACAAGTGAAACAAGTGAAACAAGTGAATTTATTTCTGCAAATAGGCTACAAGGCAGCACTTTTACACGTCAATTTTATCAAGCGAACGATGAGGTCGACATTTCCTAACTGACTACTCTGAGAAGAAATGCCGAAACAAACTCAGAGGTCTGTCTCTTTTAAAGTCCAGACAATATGTATAACAGATTATGTGTGAGAACCGTGCCAGTTCTTTCTGTAGTGGGCTTTTGAGGAAAGAACCACAACAGTTTGAGCGGACCCGTTCTGAAGGCAGTACGCATGTGTCGGTTTACAGTCAGCTCAATTAACAGGTGAGGCTGACTGATTCGACGAACAATACCAACCTAAAGAACATTTGCGTGGGTCGCACAAATACTCAAACTGTCAGAAAAAGGGTAATTAGAAAAGAAATGGTGAGGCAAAGTCTCGCACGGTCCTAGCACTAACAATTGTTAAATAAAAAGTAAATGTCAAGTTAGAACAACATATGAAAAACAATGTCACATTAAAACAATAATGTCAAATTGCATATAAAAAAAGAAATGTAACTATATGTTACAAACATGTCAACATGACCTGTGTGGACGTTACAGCAGCTTATTCCCAAGCCAGACTATCATCTAGGTAGTCTTTTATTTTATAATAAGCTTTACTATAAAATTTATCTTTAATGACATTTTTAAATTTATTTAGACTCAAATTTTGGATATGGCTGGGAATCTTATTGTAAAAGCGTATACTCTGACATCTAAACGAACCACTTATTTTCTTTAGTCTAGTAGTGGGAACAACATATTTGTCTTTATTTCTCGTGTTTATATTATGTATATCACTATGTTTTTTAAATAAACTTTTGTTTTTATGAGCATATACTAAATTTTCATAAATGTATTGAGAAGCAACCGTCATTATATTAATTTCTTTAAATAGTTCCCTGAGAGAGTACCTCGGACTAAGATTATAAATTGATCGAATGGCCCTCTTCTGCAGAACAAAGATAGATTGAATGTCAGCAGCATTCCCCCATAAGAGAATACCATATGACATAACACTATGAAAATAACTAAAGTATACTAATCGCGCTGTATCTACATCGGTTAGATTTCTAATTTTTTTAACGGCATATGCTGCAGAACTGAGCCTTTTCGATAACTTATTTATATGTGGAGCCCACTGGAGCTTAGCGTCTAGGGTTATACCTAAAAAGACAGTAGAATCTACAGGGCTCAACTCCTCACCCTTAATGAGCACGCTGGTTTTCACATGTCCAACATTTGGTGTTGTAAATTTAATGCATTTAGTTTTAGTTCCATTTAGTAATAGGTTGTTGGCATTGAACCAGCGTACTATCTCCGAGAGAGCACTGTTCACATTATTAATAACTAATTGTCTACGTTTAAGTTTAAATAATAACGAAGTATCATCCGCAAACAGTACTATCCCGTGGTTATCCCTTACAAGGTAAGGTAAGTCATTTATATATATAAGAAACAAAAATGGGCCGAGAATTGACCCCTGCGGAACCCCCATCCTGACAACAGACCCGGTGGAGACTTTTCCGTTTATTTCGACTCTCTGAATCCTGTTACTCAAGTATGAGGTAAGAAGATCCAGAGATTTACCTCTTATTCCATAATGGGATAGCTTCCTGATCAATGTATCATGAAGGACACAATCGAACGCCTTGGATAAGTCACAAAAAATGCCCAAAGCGTCGCTTGAGTCCTCCCACGCGTCATATATGTGATTAAGAAGTTCAACACCGGCATCAGTTGTTGAACGACCCCTGGTAAAACCAAACTGGTTACTATGTAACAATTTATTTCTATTAAAAAATCTTTGCATTTGATTTAGAATAATTTTTTCAAAAATTTTACTAAATGTAGGTAGTACTGAAATAGGTCTCAAGTTAGTGGGGTCAGAAGTACTACCTGATTTAAATAACGGAGTTATTTTACTATTTTTCATAAGATCAGGAAACACACCGCGGTCGATACAATTATTAAGTGTGTCCGTGTTAAGTGATCCGTTTCGGACGGCCGGTTTTAAATGTCTCCACATAACTGCGGTGGTGTTAATTACGGTTCGTTTCCGATTTCACAAACACAGATTTACATAAGTAATTAAGAATGAAAGAATATTGTTGTCGAATGCTGGAATGGTGCCCTGATTAAGCAGTTGACTGCTAAATGATGTATACGGGGTTCTTTAATACATAATTATCTAACGTCGCACCTTTTTAATCCCAAATGAACAATAGAAGGTGAACCTATAGCTATAGCCATATGGCTATAGTCGTATTATACTAACGTTAGAATAACAGGTCCATGAGTAACAAAGAAATAAAAGGTTACAATCCATTTAGTTAATAACTAGCTACTTCCGCGCGGTTTCACACGCTCTGCTCAGCCCCTATTGGTCGGAGTGTGATATTTTATAGCCTGTAGCCATCCTCGATAAATGTGCTATCCATCACAAAAAGAATTATTCAAAACGGACTTTTCGTTATGGAGATTAGCGCGTTCAAACAAACAAAAAAACAAACTCTTCCGCTTTATATACGTAATAGTATAAGATATTGACTACTGATTGCACGATTGGCGCGGTGGCTGGTCAATTGGCTGCCGCGCAACGTGTAGCGGGTTCGATTCTCGCACGAAACAACTCTTTATATGATCCATAGACAGTTGTTCCGGGTATGGGTGTCATGTGTATGTGAACTTGTATGTTTGTAAACGCACCCACGACACAGGAGAAAATCCTAGTGTGGGGCAACGTTTTTTAAGAAAATATAAGTTTGAGTTTGAAATAAGTATACATATTTTAATAAGATCAATTTTCACGCTGGCACCTGGGATGCTGCCGCTGGCACAAGCTAGCTAGTTTTTTTATTGGTGTTATATAATTAATATTTTTTACTCTTTGAAAATTGTAATTATAAACGTATCCTAATATTTCGCACGTAATATTCCTACAGTCATAAAAACGTCGATCTAGTTTTAATCATTGATTAAAACCACAGAAGTGTAAAGTTTAGTTTAAACAATATTCACATTTTATTTGCTAGAACGAAATGGTGCTGTCTATACACACCGCTCTGCGATTTCTCATAGCAATATGCACAATAGTAAGAATTTATTATTACATTTTAATAATACTTGCTTTGCTATTTCTTATATTGTGTATTCTACCTATTTTTCTTTTTAAACACCTTATATTTACTTCATAGGTAGTTGAAACCCGGGCTAGTCTGTGATCAGCCTAGTCCGGGTTTGAATCGTTCCAAATGTTCAGCAGCTTCGCCCATTCCAGATCACAATCTACTCTAAATCTAAATTTCATCTCGATCTCTTCAGTCGTTTTGACATGAAAAAGTAATAAACACATATACATATATATCCTCACAAACTATCGCATTTATAATACTACTAGCTTTTGCCTTCGACTTCGTACGCACAATCCCGTTTTCTTTCGTTCCTGTGGGATTTTCAGGATTTTTTCTATCTAAAGAATCTTCTCCTCCATTAGTAAAATCGGTCCAGCCATAACAGCATACTATTTATACCTACCTATCGCTTCTAGAAGTGCTCGAAATCTTAAAATAATTTTATTAAGTTTATTTTTTACAGAATGGCCTTAATTCTAACCCAACACGAAATAGGAATGCTCCCTTAGGGGTCCTATCGGAACTCATGGGCAAAAGTGGCAACAAACCTTTGATTGTGGTGATAGACACAAATGGTAGTTCAAGAAATTTAGGTGATGAAGCACCATCATCAGTTTCAGCTCGTGATGACTCCAATGACTACCATGAACACAATAAGAATAGCCGCCATAATCGAAATAATTTGGATAACAATACTAATAAAAAATTGAATACCTTGAATAGTATATCACGAGATGCCTATGAAGCAGTCATGTATGATATTCTTAGGGTAAGAATTTTACTCTCTACTTTGTCTATTGAGACATAGTAAATTAATTATTATATTTTTCGGTTTTCTCACGTAACTGTTAGAGCATATTGAGAGTCGTGTCAAATGGCTCATCAACGATGATGCGCTTGTGGAGGCCCGGCTTCAAAGCCTCGAACACTCGAAACTTTTGTGAAAAAAAAGTGGTAAATGTAGCACGTAGGATTTTTGTAACAATTAATTTTGACTGTAAATTAAAAGAAAATGTAATGGAATGACAAGGGCACAAGAGTCCGTGGAGAATAAGAAATGTAATATTAAAAAAAAGCCTCGAACACAGGCGTAAGGTTGCAAGTCTTTTGATTTTCTACCGGATACATTCCGGTGAGTGTGCGGGGGAATTGCAGAATTTGATTCCCCCTAATCCTTTCCATCATCGTACCACAACACAATGCGCGAAGCGTCACCGATTCATGGTAGATGTCCCAGACAGTGGTCCAACGTCGGCCCATCAAATATGATTCTGGAAGCTCATATTAATGAGCAACACTCCCCGAAACGCAACGCGGTCACTGTCGCAGTATTACTGGCTACTCAAGTCTGAATATGAGCCTCTAGCATGGCTAGCAACAAGTCGAGTCCTCGTCAAACAGTTACGTTAGTAGGCCGAAAAACATAAATTACGATTATTCACGACAAATTTTTAAACTAATTGAAAAAAAGAAGGTAGGTCTCTGTTTGACCTGTATGTTTGTCCACGATCATTTCTCGATCTGGATAATTTCTCCATTTAAATTCCATGTCCCTAAGACATTTTATTTTTTCTTTACAGACAAGTCACATCCTTTTAGATAACCATCAAAACAAAGAATCTAATCGTAAGTATACAGCTGAACAATGCTCAAATTCCAAAGACAAAAGCAGTTGCCCAGGCAGTGATAGTAAGCAGTGTTAATAACCAAAATCATTAAAGTTCTTTATCACTACTTGGCACTATTTTATGGAATATCTGTATTAATAGAAAATACCACATACGTGAACCGACAGCATGCACTTATCATGAATGAGAGTCCCAGTGTGATTCGAAAATAATTGAGCGTTTCTCGAACGTTTCACGAAAATATGGGGCACCGTACACAATAACGGCACGGACACGGCACGGTTGCGGCACGGCGTTTTTTGCGTTGGAAACGATATAAAAAGGCTGTATGCGTGCTGTCATTGCACGCAACGCGCACTTATATCCTTATTGTGTTGAATTTATGAAAGATACGACCATACGACCTAAGATGGAATGTTCAAAATCAAATAATAAGTTAATTTCTGTGATAAGGGGTGCCGTTAAAGAATGATATAACCTTAAGTCGTATTAAAAAACATGTTGGTGTGGTTCAAATTCCTCTTATCATTATCAACTTAGATACTGCCGAGTTTTGTAGTTGTTCATTCTGCAAGTTCAGTACCTCATGTAATCCAAAAAAGCTCATTCTCTAGTTAATCATTACTAAATAAATATATCTTTATCATTCATACTTATTGTACTCCAATAAAATTTTCTCATCGAAAAAAAGGGTGTTTCATTTTGACAAGGTTATACCTAAAAATTTATGATTTTGTTAGTACATACATACATAGCCTCACGAAACTTCAAACCTTCAAGAAAAGAGCGTATTCCTTTCTAAAAGGCCGGCAACGCACCACTGGCGGGCGGCGCTGATCGCTTACTATCAGGTCATCCGTCTGCTCGTTTACCTCCTATTCCATAAAAAAACGCCCATGGGGTAGGTAGAGACTATGGAACGCCAATTGCTATGATTGTGCTAGTAGTATTTCTATAGAGAATCAAAGTGTATCCAATTTTAGAAACAGAAGTAGATACACATACAGGTTGTGATCACGAACTTCGTGTTATTATTTGTTATTTAAAAAATGTACATAAGTCCGGCAGTCCCTATCGATATAAAACAATTTGACCAATAAAGTAATAGTCAAGAAAATAAATGTGAAATACAATACAACAATTTTGGGAAAGATTTATTCCCTATTATTATTTATTTATTATAAGAAGAAAGGTTTAGTAAGACTTAAGCTCAAGGAATGAATCGGTTCTCACTGAACGGAACTATAAGCAAGGTACCCCGAACATATAGAGGTATGGATTGGTATCAATTAATTGTCAATAAAAAAACCTTAAATGAAACTGCTACACCATATTTACGGTAGATTTTTTAAACTATATATGATCTGCTGCATATGGTGATTTGAATCTGCTCGTTTACCGGCTCATCCCATAAAACAAATATTACTTTGTCGCCAATGCCACAATATTTATACAGTACGCATTATTCAAATAAGAAGATTAAAGGTAAGATTTTTTTAAGGGAAATATGCGGTTCGTATTTCGGTACATATACGAGCAGACGGGTCGTGATGGTAAGCAATCGGTGCCACTCATGGACACCCGAAACACTAGAAGCGTTACAAGTGCATTGCCGGCCTTTTGAAGATTAGGTATTTGAGGATTGTTGGGGATTCAGAGATTGGGGAGAGAAGTAATTGGGCCTCCAGTAACCTCAATCACACGACGAAATACAACGCAAGCGTTGTTTTACCTCGGTTTTGGATGAGGCCGTGATATCACTTCGGTCGAGCAGGCCCAACAGTGCCGAAGCATGACTCTCCTCCACTTGCATCTATGATTACTTCGTTGCCATTGCCACGATATTGGCACAATTTTATCATAAAAATTAGACGATTAATCAGAAGGACTCATATCACAGAATCACAATCGAGCCCAGAGAAATTTAGCGTCTAAGAATTTCTGTATCTGCCAATTAACTCATTCATAACATTACATTACTTACTAATACAATTAGGCATTCTATTCATCGTAGCTCGTGTCTTAGAAGAAAAATTGTCATTGTACTACAACAATATGATTACATACCAACAACTCTATTGTTCTGAACTGACGCCATCGATCAGTCAATAATTAAAATTATCAAGGTGTAACATAAACAAATTCGCTCATTACATTTACGGACATGTGGCTGGGAGCACGGAGTTTTCAAATATTCGCTATATTATTCACAATCGTAAGGTTTTTATTTTTATTTTTTGTTATACCTAGTTTCGTAAAGTTATCTGGCATTATATTTACAATTTTAATATATTCGGGAGCTAAAATATGGAGCCATCAGCATTTTTTTTTTCATTTTATCGAACTCTCTATACTTTTAAAGTATATTCCTTTTACAACAAAATGCGCTCATTTTAAAGGTAACTAAATTGCCTTTTGTGCGACATACGTTACCAATTGATAAATCAGAAAATGTTTTTATCAAGAAATGAAAAAGAATAAACGGTAGTGGTTCCGATTTTTAGCTCCCAAATGCATAAGTCAAAGCCTTTCTAGGTGTCCCTATGGTGTAAAGTTTATCCTCATAGATGATGTCTTCTAATTTGCTGTTAATATTGTGTCATAATGTACTTAGAATGTTTTTGCCAAAGTCTTAAAATTGACTTTAATAATATTAGTAGCTTCGCTTGATTGGAATTTATTTAAATGAAGACAACTTTGATTTTCCTTTATTTTCATAACTGTCAATAGAGTGCACGTTAGGTTACTTAAAACACTTTGTGTTCTCTCATACGCCCGAGGGACGCGCTAAATGAGGTTGAAACTTTATGGACTGACTGACACTGATCCAGAAGCCGTTCAGACTTGTTCGATTGCTAATTATAATAAGTGTAATGACAATTAACTGTAGCATCAGCTTTTTCAAACTAATCTTTGTTTTTTCCAGAATGGTCTGCCTGCTAGGTACAAGATTCCCCGAAGTCCATATGATGTCATATCAGAGTTAATGGAAACGGCGGCTTCACCAAACCCTTTGATAGTGTACTTAAACCCCACTGACCAGGCAGATATTTTTTACGATGAACAAGAACAACCTGTACAATCAATAGAAGACGATGAACATTTTAATTTTGATCACAATTCAGCTAAATTGCAGAGTGCAAATAGTTTGTTCAATGCCCTGATTGCCAATTTTCGCAATCCTTTAAGGGTAAGTGTTTTTTTATAATAACTGTCGTGATACATACTTAACTAAAAATGACGGGTTAATCACATAAGTATATTGAGAAAAGCTCTACTAGTTTCGTGGCACAGAGGAACTCATCCTCATGAGCAGAGTGCGCGAGTTGGCTGCACGACATTGCTGAGACCGCGTACTCTGCTCATGAGGAAGGTGAGTGGTTTAATATGTGCAGTGTATCTTGACCAGTCAATTACAATAACTCATGTCACTGGGTTTGCTTTATCTATATATCCGTCATAAGTACTGGTTATACCTAAGTCAAAATTAAGCAAAACTTTGAATTCCTACCGTCTCAATTTAATACTTAACAGTTTTATATTTCTTAAACGGTCAAACACCAAGCAGTCACCGGTGACCGCAACCTATTGTTCTATAATTGTGTCTATAATGACGGTACTCGACGTCGAAAGTTAAACCTTTTCTATGTAACAAACACAGTAAAACATGAATCGCCTAGTTTTGTTGAGTAACTCGTAATGTCGCATTTACCCTTGCACTGTCGTTTAAATCAACTCGCCAACGAATCAAATTGAACATTTTTGACGCTATAATTAATTTTTTATAGGATGCTGACAGTAACGTTCTGGAAATACGAAAGGAAAAAGAAATAATGATCTCCAACGCACTACGATCACGATGTGAGGCTATAGTTAAATGTGAAGAAAAATGTGGAAAAACAGAGAAAAAAAGCAATGCATGTTCTGATAGTAATTCTAACTTTTGTAATGAAGATAGTGCACCAACGACGCCAAAACCATATTGTCCAAAAAGCTGCAAGGCCGTCTTCGATCATTTGATAAATTGCCCACCACCAGGAAATAAAAAAAAGAAAGAACAAAAAAAGAAAGAACAAAAAAGGAAAGAAAAGAAAAAGAAGGGGTGTGCGACTGGAAAAACTTTGCCACCGAGCTGGAAAAAGGGTAAATTTGATGATGATAATGAATGCTAAAATCAAAGTGCAGGATAAAATAAAAAAAAATATAACTAAATAAATTACTAATTGCCAGACTACAACTAAGTGCATACAAACTTGTGATTGACTGAACAAAAGACTATGCTGACGGTATAAATGGGAATAATATTTTAAACAGAAAATCACGAATTTGTAGACAAAATATTCTATTGGGCTATAAAGTTAAATCTTTAAACTGGCAGCCTTGTCTCTTTTTTCTATTTAAAACTTATAAACCTTTATCCTCCTACTACAAGTAAAACTACGCAACTGTAGTCGCAGGCACTAGCTTTTTACGAGGGGGGAAAATTATCCTATTACTGCTCCCGCCTTTGGTTAGGCGAGAGGGAGTCTCAAATCCTTACTGACTAAAAACCACCCCGTTCCTACTCCTGCTCTTGTATCCGGAGCACCGGTAACCCGTCAGGCCTTCCGCGGCTCCGTATTGAGTATCAGCCTTATCGGCCCTATTGGGCACTATATAGCAGTAGAAAAAGAAAAAATCGTCTCTATTAGTCTATTTATTAAAACCTTAACTTCGAACCTTTAACGAATTTTATTATTTCTATTAAGACATTAATCTGACACACAGACGTAAAAAGAGTAGGTCTGACATTAGTATCAAATAGAAGTGGCAAGATTTCCAATACTTTAACTGTGATGAAACTAGAATAACGTTCATATTTACGTACATTTAGTTTGTTTTGTGGTACGTTAGTTGTATTAAAATCCAATCATTTCATGTAATCACAGCGAACATCAGAAACGATATTCAGAGTAATAGCACGAAGTCTGGCACTGCACGTGGAGTAACAATGAGGCACAAATAATTATCTACAAAGCGGTAAAAGCGTGTTAAAAAGATGGTGTTTTCACAATTTTCGTCGATAACAAATCTTAGACGCTGAAATTCAGGCTACAGTAACCAAAGAGTCAATAAAGATCATGTGTTATACGTTATTGTCGCTTTTACCTAAACAAAATCTCATTGTTTCTATAAATGGATAAGACAATTATCTTGTCGATGTATTTTTGTTAAACCTTCAATTTTCTTTTTTTTTGTCTAGACATTTATACCCTTAAATAATATTATAAACTATATTTATTACTTTCGAAACAATGTTGTCCATCAGAACCACTTCAAAAAGTATAACTTTTTTTTACTCCTAACAGTAGAAAAGATTTAATCAGCTGTACCTACACTTGGGAGCAAATAACCGGAGCCACTAGCGTTCATACTTTTTCATTTCTTGATAATTATTTCATTAATTGGTAACGTGGGTAGAAGAAAAGGCAATTTAGTTACTTTTAAAATGCGATCATTTTGTTGTAAAATGGAATTAAAAAATGCTAGTGGCTCCGTTTCTTTGCTTCTAAGGCCATATCTTAAATGTTTTTAACTGAACGTGTGTATGTAAAATTACTTAACAATACATTTTTATGAATTACAGATAACACTTAATTAAAACCAGTTGAGTGAAACGCTAAAAAAACCCAAACTTTAATCAGTTTACAGGTACTGAACAAAATGGAGACGAATCGGGCATTGATAGTGCAAATAATAATTTTAATGATAATAATAGTAAGGTTTTGGAAACTTGTTAATTATTTCTTAAGGATCAAAGTCCCAGGGACGGGAACAAATGGAACGAATATGACAAACATTCTAGAAAAAATATAGAACATAATACTTGAAGAATTGATAAAGACGTTGCTGCCCTTAATGTTAGTGGACAAAAAGATTTTAAAGATTAACCTAACCTAAGCGAACATTCTTCATATATTTGCCTCTTTGTCTCATTCCAGATCCAAGTATAACTTCATCTTCTATTCTATCTACTTTTGAATTAAAACTTCTTGCAAACATACGTACTGATACAAATATTATTATTTCAGAAGAGTTCGGTTGGAGCATTTAATGATCATTTTTTAAATGACCTGACGGAACAAGTTGGGAATGATGGCAAGAAAACACTAATTGTCTTGGTGGACACTGTCAATAAAAATAATGATCTTAATGATGAACGATTTATGATAAACGATGACAGTTATTCGATTTCTGAAGCAAATAAAGCAAGAGTTTTTAATGATATCGATAATATTTTAATAAATGAAAATTATCACAATTTGTTATATAATCTTATGAGAGTAAGTATATTAGAGGTATTTACTTAGATTCAGGTTAGAACCCAGTAAAAATGCCAATAATTAACTTGCGACGCAAAGCTAAATTTTGTGGTCAGTTAATGTTCTGAAACTCACTGCAATGAATGTTCTTTTCTAACGTGTTTGCATTCATAAAAAATGGTTGCCTGTAAAGTCGTTTTTACGGGCGAAGATTTTACGTGACAACGTCTTTTTCTCGGTAGAATATTTATTGATATGAATATAATTAAATTGCACAATAGGAACAAGGAATTGAATGAACTAGTGCTGCGCGCGCGGCAGACCGATCATAGTTGAGTGGGAGAGAGACGCAAGGCATTCGGCGGGCCTCTCTCTCGTTCGGTGACTCATCGTAACGTTACCGAGCGTTACACTTTTTCATAAGTGACTCCCAGCCGCAACCTAATTTAAGACGTTGTCACGTCAAAAACAAATATTGACACATCGCATATACCTTCGAATAAACAATTAAGTTTTACATTGCACGCGTTTTTCAACCTTGTTACCCAAAGAATAAGGTGTGGAATCATTCGTTATAAATTATAAACAGGAATCAGAACAGGCAAAGAGTAATTTTACTACTTGCAGAATATAATCCGTGCAATCTTTAGGGTAAATTTATATCTAGCGCAGAGCCGAACCGTTTTTTTTAAAACAGAACGTAACAAATTCAACCCTACGAATTTATGTTCCAGAACAGCAAACATCCAGAAAATAATGAAGTAAATGAAGTAGAAGAGATTTTAATAGAAGAAGCTCTCAGAGCTAGGTGCCAAAAGAAAATTAAATGCGAAAATAAATGCCCCCAATCTGAAGAACGAAAACCAAAAAAAGAAAGATACTGCCAAAAGAGTTGTAAAGCGGTCTATGATGATCTCCTGAACTGTCCACCAAGCAACAAGAAGCCTAAGAATAAACAAAATAAAAAGAGAGGAAAAACTTTACCCCCTTCCTGGTAATGGGGAAGATTTTGAATTTTCTTTAATGTTTTAACTAGTTTCAAATGACTATGATTAAGGAACAGGTATTATGTTTTAGATTTGAATGTTTTCAGTTCTATGTTTATCCCAATAATAATATTATGGTGAACTAGACTATTTGTTTTAATTTTTTTCCTTTGTTTGTTTGATTTTTTTTTTCTTAAACGTCCCGTATTAGGTTTTCTCCTGTGTCGTGGGTGCGTTTACAAACATACAAGTTCACATATACAGGATACCCAGACCCGGAACAACAATTTGTGGATCACACAAGGAGTTGCTCATTGCAAGAATAGAACCGGATTCACGTTTTTTTCTAAAATAGTTACGATTAGTTATAATAATAATATGAATCTCCCAATCGATTTCGATCATGGTAGCTAGTCTAACTAGACTAGCACACTGCGCAGGAGATATTATAGTGCACAAGTGTGTGCGTAAACACAGATGCACACTCTGAACCTGATGGGCCGGCACTGGGCACGACCATCGGCATTGGATGCTTTTCGAGACACAGGGGTGAAACACTGAACTTCCTGACTCATTTCAATCACTCAGAATATGCCATTGTCAGCCTTTAGATATTTTAGCCGGTGCAGGAATCGAACCCGCGACACATTCCACGACAGCCGGTTACTCAACCACTGCGCCAACCATATCATAGTTTAGGTACTATATGTATATTTACATAGAGCTACATAGGCTTAACGGTATGGAAAGGTATGTTCTGAAGTGGAGCCTACGCTTTGATAAACGCAGAATAGAGCACCCCGGACGCTGGTAACTTTTTTTGACTGCTCATCTCCAGGCTTTATGATTATTGTCCTTAGGGTTATTTTCTTTTTCGATCTTTTTGACTGAATTTTGGCGTCACATAATTTAATCAACAAAACTATTGCATCGTGAACCTGATTGAAAAAGAGTAATCTATGTATTTTCCTGCTCTTTCTTCTCTCCTCCTTGGAATGAGCAAATAGCTTCACTTTTAATTTTTCGTTGCCGTTCAAAAGTGCCTTTCTTGTGAAATAAATGATTTTGACTTTGACCAACGTGTATAAGGGAAATATTTTGATCAGAATATCAAGTAAAATCATTTGAACCGCTTTTTATAAAATAAATCATGTCTGAAGAAAACATTAAAATTATTGCCATGTTAAATATAAATAGATCAAGCCATCACGAACACAAACCTGCTAATAAAAAATAGGTAAATAAACACAAATTGTTGGGTTCCAAAAATGGTTTAATGTCCGTCTGGTAGATTAATTTAAAACTTTAGATAGACACCTACTTGATCCTTTCTTTCATTATAGATGGATATCACACACACATAATCACAAATTTAAATAACTATGAAAAATTATAAGATTGCGCGGAACTTTGACGGTTCGTCGGAGATGTCTAGCTCACGTTATGGCGGCGCTGTAATCGACATGACTTCCGTCAGAATGACATCTGTGGCTAGATGTCATCCTAGTCCCAAAACAATGGGCTTGCTGCCTCCCAAAACAATGGGCTCGCTGCCATTGCAGCGGTAAGTCCCCTCTTTGAGGAGTGGCTTGAGAGACGCTACGGCGTCCTCACCTACCGCCTGACGCAGGTCCTCACCGGACATGGAAGTTTCGGGAGTTACCTGAGTCTGATGGGATGCGACGAAACGCCCGGGTGTCATCACTGCGAGGACCGCCCTGAGGACACGGTGGAACACACTGTAGCGGAATGCCCTGCGTGGGCTGAACACCGCCGTGCCCTCAGGGAAGTGATCGGCGATGGCGACCTCTCGCGTCCGGGCCTAGTGCAGTCCATGATGCGGAGCGAGGGGGACTGGGATGCCGTCTCCTCCTTTTGCAAAGCAGTCATGCTAGAAGGAGGAGGCGGAACGCGTGAGGCAGCGAAGCGCTACCTCCTCGCAACCCAGCCATCGCGAAGGACACACCGGGTGTCGGGGATCGCGGGACGATCTCCGGCCACCGTAAGCGTAATATCGTATGACTACGTCACGATTCACTACATTTTATAGATTTTTTAAGGCGGGAAAATATCATCGAATGACTTCTCCCGCCTGGGTGAGGCAGGATTTTTACATTCACATACATTTTATAAGATACTTCGACAAAGCTGGCTCCCTCTCCTAAACTTTAATTAGTTTTATCAAAGTATTGTTTACTTATAATATTACTGACTGCCTCGTTAACCGAGTGGTCGCAAGTGCGACTGCCGGACAAGGGGTTTCGGGTTCGATTCCCGAGTCGGGCAAAGTACTAGCGGGTTTTAAAAATGCTCAGTAGTACCTTCTATTACATGGGACTCACACCATAAATAGTGAAGTGGGTGTTACATTGTACAGCGGGATTAAGTGCCGTATCGTGCTCTAGCTACCCCTTCGGGGATGAAAGGCATGATGTTATGGTATTTACATTTTGCCAAGATGTTTTTCTTTTTCCTTTTTTTTTATAGCATAAGCCAGTAAACGAGCAAATGGATCACCTGATGGTAAGCAATCGGCGCCGCCCATGGCTACCCGAAGCACCAAAGCGTTACAGGCCTTTTGGGAATTTGAGGACGGTGGAGGATTCGGGGATTCGAAGGACTAGAGATGGGGGTGATTGGGCCTCCGGTAACCTCACTCACACGACGAAACACAACGCAAGCGTCGTTTCACGTCGGTTTTCTGTGAGGCCGTGATCACTCCGGTCGAGCCGGCCCATTCGTGCCGAAGTATGGCTCTCCCGCACTTAATAATTTTGATCTAATTTTGTTAGATCAAATTGGTTAAAATTCATATAAGGTATCTATCTGAGGTTGAGTCTAAGATTAAAGTTATATTTTAATCTTTGACATTATCACATTTAATTACATATATTTTATGGCATTAAAGGTATTTATGTACTTTAATGCATTGCAATAAATAATGCATTTAGCAAGAGGATACCATTGTTATTCAGAAATTATCAATGCCCAACCAAGTGAATGCCTTGTGGTGTTGACAAATCACAACTCCTATTCCTTCCATGAGTATCATAGGAGACCCGAGAATAGCGCTCTTTGATAATCCTTTTAAACTGCGATGTCTAACTAATTAGTCTGCCTAGCAAGGAGATTATCGCGAGACGATCTCCGGCCACCGTAAGTACTGGCCTGCGGGCGGCGAGCATGGGTGACTCGCCGCCCAACAAGAACAAGACCCTAGCGTACGCCACGTCGCGTTCTGCGCGCGCCTAAAGAGCCATCAGACTACCTAGATGGGACCCAATAGAACGGATGCCGATACGCAACCGCAGATGACTTAAAGAGTTGCTGGGGCTCCGACTCGGAGTGCAGGAACGGGATGGTTTTATTCAGTAAAAGTCTGACACTCCCCTTCGCCTCACACGGTCGGGAGAAGACATGGAATGATTTTCCCCCTCAAAAAAAGAGCAAGGAGACTATGTTCAACCCTCTCATGTAGAAGCAGCATAAAGTCAGTCTATACGAATTGTTGATATGGTGTTGTGAACCAATTTAGTTTAGAAGTATTAGGCGTCAACATTTTCACTAGTTTATAAACATTTCGAAAATGAACTTGATAATGAAAATGAAGTAATAAAAAAAACAATAAAACAAATAATAATCGAACAGGAAGTTTAAACCCAAACGAATAATAAAAAAAAATCTAGTCCACTAAAAAATTAATTAAATTTTGGTACCTATTATGAAGCGATAAAAGTTTACTTGATTGATACAAGGTAAACCAAATTGTATTTGGAGTGTAGGCGTCAAAGGAGAACAATGACGGCTACTTTACCGAATCTGAAGTTTATTATAAATGTAATATTCTTATTTTTGGTAACGGTAAGTCATTTTGAATTTTCTTTTGTCTATTTTTCATTGTCTAACTTAATTTTCTTGCATTTTTCTAGGTTTTCTTATTTCGTTAATCTCACACTATGTAGTTTTTGGTAAACTTAATCTTTAAAACCTAAAACCTAACCTAACTAAACCTATTTTTAACTAAAGCCGGTTTCATACTATGTCCGATCCAAATCTGATCTTAAATTGCTAAATAGTCTATAGTAGCCGTAGTGCTGCGGACGGCGAGCATGGGTGGCTCCCCGTCCGACCAGAAACAGACCCGAGCGTGCGGCGTCAGACCACCACAAATGAGGCCCAACAGGGCCGATGCCCATTCGGAGTCGCGGAGAACCTAACGTGTTACCGGGGCTCCGGCTCGACGTGCAGGAGAAGGAACGAGGTGGTTTTTAGTCAGTAAGAGACTGACACTCCCTCCCGCCTCACCCTGGCGGGAGCAGTCATTCGATGATTTTACACGCTAAAAAAAAAATTGTAGCCGTAGAACTATTTCCATGGAAATTTGTGCTATAGATGTGATCAAAAAAAAAAAGAATGCCATAGAAATTGCCGTACAAAAAGTTTTACGGCTGCTACGCAACTCGGATGAGACGTACCTAGTGCAAAACCGTTCCGAGTCTATTTTACCTTGCCATACTTATATTCTTGGAAACTACAATTATTCTGTCAGACAATACTGCTTTACCACTTTTTATCTTCCTTGAATTTTATCTTGTTTTTACAGTCGCAAAGACAAATCAAGTCATTCAATCGTTAATGATTGACCATGAGAATTGGAAAATCATAGCGACTCAAACATTAATTCCGTTGATCGTACTGATTTTATATTTCGCTTATTTTTCTAGCATATCCATCCATCTTTACCAAATGAGGACAACGGCCTTCTCTCGAACCTTTATAAAAAGGCTTCCGACCAGAATCGCCCATTGATTCTAGTTTTAGACAACAACGCAAATCGTGGTCAAAACTCCAGAAACCAAAAGTCCGGCCTGAATCAGGGTAGACATGACGTGAGTTTTGAAGAGACTCGTAACAACGATGAAGCCTCATCTCCATTCCTATATCTTCAACAGTTGTCGCAGCAGGTATACATAATAATTTTCTATCCTACATTTAAAAACCCGGCTTGAACGGTCGACACCAAAACTTGCTCCTAAATGTAACAAACCATTTTCTGAAAACCGCATTGAATTCGGTTTAGGCAAACGCGAGATAATCGCACACCTCCTTTTGTTTTCAAGTCGGTTAAAAAGGTGTCTCTAGTTACTTCTTTTTGGTTTAATAAAATTGATCCAAAGTTAAATTTGTAACAACATCTTAAGGTTCTCTCATATAACAAACGGCGTCCAATCTATGAAGATTATGATATATAGAAGAATATTTTTGATTAAAGTATGAACTTTAATCAAAAATATTCACTTAAGTGGTGTGGTACCCACTTTATGGTTCTATTCGCAAAGCGAAACTTTATTAATTACTTACTATTTTAATAAAAAATTGTATGTGGTTACCACAGGCGAATGACAAAATATCTTCAGTCAACAAACCAAGATCGAACCATTACAATTCACGAAATGACAGAAACAACAACTATCAGGGAAATAATAGAGGTAACTTAGGTCACAATCGAGGCCATAAGGGAAGAAACAATAGGGGTCAAAATGACAGGGGCGTATCAGATTATGATAACAGAAATAACAACAACAATAGAGGCGATAACTATAACAGAGGAAGCAATAGAGGTAACGGCAACTCAAGGAGTAATTACAGGGGCAATTCTAATAACAGAGGTAATTATAGAAGCGTTAATAACAGGGGAAATAACAGAGCTAATTACAAGAGCAACAGAGGAACTTATAACAATCGGGCTAATTTCGTAAACAACCATGAATACAGCGATAAAAACAGAGGTGACAACAACCACAGGGGAGATAATGACAACAACAGGGGAAACAATTACTACAGAGGTTCCAACAGAGGAGACAATGATTACGAAAATAACAACAACAGGGTAGACAATAACAACAGAGGAGATAACAACAACAATTACAACAGAGGAGACAATGACTACGGAAACAATAACAACAACAGGGCTGCCAACAACAACAATAACAACAGAGGAAACAACGACTACGGAAACAATTACAATAACAGGGCTGCCAACAACAATAACAACAGAGGAGACAATGACTACGCAAACAATAACAACAACAGGGCAAACAATAATAATAGGGGACTTGTTAACTACATCAGGAATTCCAACAGAGGCGACAATGACTACGAAAACAATAACAACAGAGGAGACAACGACTACGGAAACAATAACAACAACAGGGCTGCCAACAACGAGAATAACAACAGAGGAGACAATGACTACGCAAACAATAACAGGGCTGCCAATCACAACAACTACAACAATAATAACAGAGGAGACAATGACTACGCAAACAATAACAACAACAGGGCTGCCAACAACAATAACAACAGAGGAGACAATGACTACGAAAACAACAACAACAACCGGGCTGCCAATAACAACAACAACAACAACAGAGGCGACAATGACTACGGAAACAATTACAACAACAGGGCTGCCAATAACAACAACAACTACAACAATAACAACAGAGGAGACAATGACTACGGAAACAATAACAGGGCTGCCAATAACAATAACAACAACAACAGAGCAAACAATAATAATAGGGGACTTGTCAACTACATCAGGAATTCCAACAGAGGCGACAATGACTACGGAAACAATAACAACAACAGAGGGGATAACAACAACAATAACAACAGAGGAGATAATGACTACGCAAACAATAACAGGGCTGCCAATAACAATAACAACAGAGGAGATAATGACTATACAAACAATAACAATAATAGGGCTGCCAATAGCAACAACTACAACAATAACAACAGAGGAGACAATGACTACGGAAACAATTACAACAACAGGGCTGCCAATAACAACAATAACAACAGAGGAGACAATGACTATTCAAACAATAACAATAACAGGGCTGCCAACAACAACAGGGCAAATAATAACAATAGGGGACTTGTTAACTACATCAGGAATTCCAACAGAGGCGACAATGACTACGGAAACAATAACAACAGAGGAGATAATGACTACGGAAACAATAATAACAACAGAGGAGATAACAACAACAATAACAACAGAGGAAACAATGACTACGGAAACAATAACAACAACAGGGCTGCCAACAACAACAACAACTACAACAATAACAACAGAGGAGACAATGACTACGCAAACAATAACAACAACAGAGGAGACAATAACTACGGCAACAACAACAATAGAGGAGCCAACAATAACAGGGGAGACAATAACTACAATAGAGGTGATAATGACTATATGGGTAACAATTTGGTCGATAATAATAATAGAGGCGACAATAACGATAGGGGCAACAATAGGGGCGATAATAATTACAGGGGTAATAATAGAGAAAATAATAACAATAGAGGCAATAATTGGGGCAATAACGCTTATAGAGGAGACAATGCTGGTAACTTCCAGGGAGATAGAGAAAACAATTATTACAGGGGTGCCCAAAAAAACAACAAAGTGGATAGTGAAATCATAAAATCACCACTTGTAAAGACTCTTATGGCAATATCAAATGATTTAAGACAAGGTATGGATTCCTGTGGTGATGATGTGAAGACCACACCAAAACAATCCGATTATCAAGATGAGTGTCAACAGTCAGGAAATTCCTGTGGCGATAGTGATGATGGGAACCCTAGCACTAGAGCGGAACTTCATTTAAATGGGAACATGTACTAAAAACTAATTTGGTCTGTTTATTAATACATTATATTGGATGAGTATTCACTGTCGCTTCATTTCACATTCGCTTTTTATCCTATTTTATATTTCACGGCATAAGCCGGTAAACGAGCAGACGGATCTAATGGTAGGCAATTGGCGTGGCCCATGCATGGACACCTGAAACATCAGGGGCCTTATAAATGCGTTCGGTACCAGCCTTATGAGGATTGTTAGAGATTTAAAGATTGGGGAGATTTGAAATGGGGGAGGAGTAATTGGGCCTCTAGTAACCTTACTCAGACAACGAAACACAACGCTGTTTCACGTTGGCTTTCTGAGAGGCTGTGGTATAACTCCAGTCGGGCCGAAGCGAGGCTCAGCCACACTTTTAAGCTACTTACCGATTTCTATTATTATTATTAATCGGTTTTAGTTAGCGTGCTCCATTTGTTTGTTTTTGAATCTTTAGTAATAGGAATTTTATATCTGTTCCTGATAACAGACTATATTTGGTATACACTTTTAATCTTGATGATCATACAATATTAAGAGATGCTGCCACACCCTATACTTACCTCTATACTCATTATACTCTTATACTCTTTGTCCCACACTTGATTGGTGACACTGATTGGTGATGATGATAAATAGCTATGGTTACCACTCCTCTTAGTATTACTGAAAGAGTTTCAAACAGTTAGTATTTCCATTTCCATAAACAAAAACCCAAAAGTATTGTCATTTTGACGCAACAATCAAACTTGGAAAAGTTTGCGTGGTGTGGTTACGTGAATTAAAATATGTAGATATAAAAACGTTGAGTACCATTGGTTCATTTATATTTGTGAAAAGATAACTACAACTAAACTAATTTTGTTAAAAATGATTTACATTGTGATACTTCGCCAAATTGTTTTTTGATACACCATTGATAGTTATGAGGATCTTTCAAGGTAACATGTATTTCACTAAAAATATGATGTAGAAGAACTAGTGTTTTTAGGTTCTTTTCATAGTAAAAACACGATTAAAACTGACTGTGCTAACCACCCTTCTGAGGAATAATTAAAAGCAATTATGATGTTACATTTTGATGTAGTTTACTATTCAGTTTTCATGATAAGATTGATAGTTTCATCGATAAGATCGAATAGATTGGTGGCTAACTAAAATTCCGAAAGTCATCAAAAAAATTTTTAGCTTCGATCCTATAGAGCAGCTTTTTACAAACTATGGTTTCCTAGGGAGAAAATGGGCACAAAATTTGTACACATTATTTTTTCATAACACGACAATTGCAATTGTATAGATGGCTCCACCTAAAGATAACAAACAGGGGCAAGATTCTCAAAACAAGCAAGCAGAACCTACACCAGAAGGATCTGTGAGTAAATCTGAACTTAATAATGTAAATCCTGCTCGGCACCGCAACAACGCAACGGTGCCATGGGATCCAAGTAAGATCAATTTCCACCTAGTTATGTTTGTTACTAGTCCAAATTTAATAAGTTATGAACCAACTGCGAGGCTTGTGGCTGTTTTACCTTTCACCTCTAAACCATCTCTTAACTAAAAGTTATTTAATCTAAACTAACGCTTTATTTTTACTGTTAGTTATCAGTTATAGGTTGAAGAAAACCAAAATGTCATAAGAGGTTGGTGAAATCTTTTTAAGCAGTTTCAAAATCCTAATTCTTAAAACTACAATTAATATCTTTACCATTTCAGGGAACTGGTCGTAACTCACGCTCTCCAACTGCAGGCCCTTCTGGAAGAACAACTCCAACAACTACTTCATCAGCCGAAGCTGGACCTTCAACAGCTACTGGCGAAATACCACGATCCCCTCCTAATCAAAATACAACGTCTGGTTCACCACCCGAGCGTCAAACATCAACAGTAACTCTCACAAGACTCACGCTTCCAAGAACAGCTAGTAATCGATCAATAGCCAGTGCACCTTTAATAGACCCTGGACCGTCAAGAGATATCGCTTCAATAGCTGGTTCCTCAGTCTATAGTGCTGAACTAGAAGCATATAGTAGCGTCCCCCGTAACTCTGTTGCCTCTGGATTTCCAAGCAGACAAACAGGTACATCCAGATATGTGTCAAGTAATGATCCGTCTTTTTCAAGTCGAAGTGTTAGCCAATTGGAATACGCACAGAGAAGACACGCGGATTTAAGCAGAGGACGTATTCAATTGGATGAAGGTGTAAGTTATTCTAATTATCTATCTTATACCTTTAAACGAGCAATTCGTGTATATAATGACTAGCTAGTTTCGCGTGGTTTCATCCACTCTGCACAGCTCCTATTGCTCGCAGCGTAATGTTTTATAGCCTATAGTCTTCCTCGATAAATGCACTATCCAACACAAAATAATTATTCAAATTGGACCAGTTCTGGAGATTAGCGCGTTTAAACAAGCAAACAAACAAACTCTTCAGCTTTATATAATAGTAAAGATTTATATAATACACAGCTACAGCATAAATACAGTAATAATATACAGCTTTATATAATAGTATAGTAGTAAATATTGTGTGATATGTATAATTATATATACTACCATAAAAATAATGTTCAAAACTCACAACAGTGTTAAACATTTACACCTACTATTGTGTCTCTCTGCATCACCCTAAAGTTGACTGTTAGAGAATGCCACTAGGCATTAAGTCCGCCATTGTATACAATTGTAAGAAGTGTAAATAAATAAATAAAAAAATAATGATGTAATAACGATGTCGGAGATGGCTCCAACAATTTTCTTTGAACATTGTATTAGGGGGTTTTGGTATTGTATTTGGGGCGATAAATCGATCTAACTAGGTTTCTCTTCCAGAAAATGTAGTTTATTAAAAGTACTTATTTTTTTAATCGCTCTTTCACATATTTGTGTTAAATAGACAATTTTAATACCTTGAGATGTCTTAGCGGGATCTCAGAGGCGTAAAATGAGGTTTGACATGTGAATGACTGTTAAACTGTATATATTGGATTAAACTTTTACTTCAATACATAGTATAAAGCAAAGTCGCTTTCGCTGTATGTCCGTATGTGTGCTTAGATCTTTAAAACTACGCAACGGATTTTGATGCGGTTTTTTTTAATACATAGAGTGATTCTTAAGGAAGGTTTGTATGTATAATACATGCATATTGCACCCGTGCGAAGCCGGGGCGGGTCGCTAGTTAAATATAAACAAGGTTGCACAATAATACGAAACTCACATATTTCGCGGCACATATACGGAGCGCGTGTGTCACGGCTATTACGGTATAGTGAGGTGGCTGTGATGCCACTAGAGTTCCGCGCGTGCGTCCGACACAAACCAAAATCGAATTGCCGCATTACATCCACCCCCTCTGACCTAGGCATAGCGCCCTCGCGTCTTGGTCAGTCTAGAAATCGCTTGGGTCTTCCGCACCTACGCTTTTCGATAACAGCTGGAACCAGCTCATCACCTACGAAAGCAGTCAACTGTGAGATGCGGTTCTTACCCGAATTTTCACCACTACATAATTTACGACGTGGTTAAGACTTCGGAGTCTGTCCACGGGGCGCATCGTCGCTACCCTGGGTTTTTAGAAGAAGCAGACCTCCGGCTCCTGCGGAATGTTCCGGCGCAGGGAGACGTTTGTTTCCAGAGCTACGTTTCTCACTAACTCGGTTCTTTTTACGAACTTTACGAGCGTCAAACAGCGCGTTTGACGTACGTCGTAAGTGTGGAGTAAAATTCATGACGGTAGGCCGTTCCTCCGAGCCCAACCCCTGCATTGAAGCTGTTCTAGATGACAAACGATAACGTTCTCGGCTCGCGTCAGACTTTAAACGACACCGGGTGTAATTGGTCGAGAGTTCTTTCTTCGCGGAGCGGTCGGCTACATCCAACAGAGAGGCGTTTGACCGTACCCTCTGGTTAGCCGTCGGCGCGGTACCCTCGTCATTCATAATTACAAGCTCGGTAGCTTCTGGCTTCCTCGGCTCCATGCTTTCGGTAATAGGTAAACCGAGACTAGCGTCAAACGGATCCCAACTCGACTCGTCGTTAAAACGCCAGCTGCACCGTGGTAAATCCAACAGGATATTCGCTTTCGTGATAAAATTCCTACCTAACAGTGCCCTCGTTTGTGCATTCGGTAGCACCATAAACGTAGTGGGTATCACGCGTTTTCCTAATGTGACGTCGACGTCACACTCAAGCGTGGGACGTTTCTTCTGAGACCCGTCAGCAAGACCTACGGTACGTACGACCATCCTAAATATCACGCCAGCATTCACGAGCAAAGCGTGCAGCATAGGTCTCGCGATAGAATGTGTGGCCCCTGTGTCCAATATGGCCACACCCTTACGGTCAACGACCTCAATACCTATCAGCGGTTGCGAATCGTCATCACTCGCGCCTACAATGTAAGTACTGTAAATATCTACTTTACTTGAGTCGGCTGTAGGTACTTTTACACTTATCGCATTTTCAGCGCACTACTGCCAGCTGGACACATCCGTAGTAACGTAACTGAGTGTTATTATTATTACTAGAAGTATCTTCCTTCTTATTACGACAGTTATCAACTGAATGCCGGACAAGTTTACAATAACAACACTTCGGTCGCGTACGTTTTCGTACGTTACTATTATTACTTACTTTAGTCGCGGAGGCCTGACCTAACACGGCCGCATCACGTAAACTTACTAAAGGACTCGCGCTACATGAAGATTTCGAATTTACGGGTTTGCCGAACGGTATTCGAAGGGGTAGGACTCGGGTTTGTGTCAGAACGGTCACGCGCGGCGTGCGGGTCAACAGAACTCGTATTGTTATTAAGAATGGGGCAACTTACCTCGGCCAGTGACTCCTCGACGACTGACTTTGGTGATGAGTAGCTCCAGCCCGTCGACGGAATCACGACACACGCGTTTTCTAATCCTACGACCTAACAACCTGTATACAATGTCCAACTTCATTGCCTCCGGTACTACGTACGGTAATTTTGATAACAAAGCGCGCACTTCACAAATAAATACGTCGGCCCGTTCACTATTTTGTTTTGTAGCGAAATCACGGTTCTGTTCATCTCGACATCTGTGTCGGTTTCCGATCCCTCATCTTTTCCAGTTCTTCTCTTTGGCGGCATGATAACATCATCAACAGCCATTAAATGCCCACTGCTGAGCAAAGCCTTACGGAAGTTTGAGTATTAATCGCCACGCTTGCTCAATGCAGGTTGGCGATTTCAAACTTATAATAAGAACTTGTAAGTTCAGTGGTGTCTAAATAATTTTAGAAACACATATAACTAGGAAAAGGTCATATTGGTACTAGCCGTTGGTAGGTTTCGAACCGGTACCCTCATTTATGAGAAGCGGGCACCTTAAACCCCGGGGCCACCACGACATAACAGGCAATTCCAACTGTTACTCGCTCGAATAGCACGGGTGATGATTTTGAGGATGGTAGCTTCAACGAGTCGGTAGGTATATACCTACAGACGCAACCGGCGGCACGCGGAAAATGGACTCGCCCAAGTGTTTTCACTTTCGTATTTGCACTGGTTTTATAATAGTTTTCTTGTGATTGCACTATCGGAGAGAGTTCACAATACGTGTTTGTACGATAGGAACACTAGAACTTGTAGTAACTTTGAGTTTTTATGCACAATTCGTTCGTGGCCGCAAGTTGGGCGTCACTTTAATAACTTGAAATGTCTATTGGGTTCTCAGGGGCGTGAAATGAGGTTTGACACACGAATTACTGTTAAATTATATATAATGGATTAAACTTTAACTTCAAATATAAACAAGTTTGCACAATAATACAAAACTTAAATATTTCGCGGCACAAATACGGAGCGCGTGCGTCACGGCACCCACGCTAGCATCGAGCGGTCAGTGGCGGGGAGGCGGGGGAAAAGTAATAGTGAGGTGGCCGCGTTGCCACTAGAGTTGAGCGCGTGCGTCCGACACAAACCAAAATCGAATGGCCGCGTTACGCAATTCTATTTAGAAATGGATTATTCGTTACTATATGTACTGCTAATTTGACTTAGCAGTTCATGTTGTTTCTCGTCGAAATTTGAATTTGCCTGTGAAGTTCTTCACTGTTGTTACATTGTCAATATTTCAGAGAAGCCAATCGCCCAGCTTGTATACTTTGGACAGAGAATTGAAGAATTACATAGTGAAACGAGAGAGCACTTCATATCAGTATTATCCTGGAACTGAAAGAACGGTTTTCGATTACATCTCTGAAAGAACCGATATGTATAATACTAAGTAAGTTGAAGTTCTTTAAAAAAGGATGATAGATAATAGGGTAGATGCTTAACTCGTCGAGTACCGGTTTTGTAGACACAATTATAGAACAATAGGTTGCGGTCACCGGTGACCGCTTGGTGTTTGACAGTTTAATTTTGATTTTAATATCCGTCTGGTATCTACCAAATATATAAATATATACCTAGGTGTTTTAAATCATTAGACACGTATTTTTTATTTTCTTACTTATACAAATACTTTCGACGATATAGGTATTGATTTGAAATGTCGCGTGACGTCACTTCTATATACATTTTATACATAGCAATGACGTTTTAGCTCCCACTCCTAAACTTAAGTAGGTATGATTTTATTATTCAACAAAATAAAAAAATACGTGTCTAATATTTTTTCATTACCTAACTTACGGACAAAATAGATTTTTAATTCTCATACACCGTCATCATTCCAATTATGTTATAGTTAATTTCTTAATGTTAACAGCAATTAGCTTGTTTAATAGCTACATTATAATTGTTAAAATAATTATCGCCCCTAAATGTGTGTAACTTCTCAAACACAAAAACTTAAAATGTATTTTAAATGTAACATCGTCATAGTATTTTATTAGAAAACTAGAATACAGATATGTACTTTTATTTTCGCGCACTGGGGGTAAGTGAGAGAAACATCGAGAGTTCATGTAGGTACTAGTACATTTATTACTGATCAATGTCAAACTTAAACTAACATAAAAATTTCGAACGGGGTAGGTGTATCGACGGAGAATCTTACCACCGCGATGTATATTGTGACGTACTTTAACAACGCCATCTAGTTTCGTGCAGCAGAACTATTTAACTACAAACAAGATATGTACGTAAAAATACGCGTTTAACGGCTGCGGCGTGTGCGATTGTTTGCGGCTCCCGCTGCATGGGCGGGCACAGACGCGATCTCGCAGCAGCCGCAGCGGCAGGCTTCGTCGCCGCGGCGGGCGCAGCCAACAATCGGGTCGTGAGTCCATAGCGACAGACTCGCATCAAACTGTACGAAACTGAACTTTACCTTAAAATAATATAGTTGAAAATGAAATATAACATGAAACATCAAAATTATGATTTTTACAGTCTTGTTGAGTCAACCGCTCATTTGATCAAGGGCAGCGTTGGTGCGGGAGTGCTGACGATGCACGAAGCATACATGATTGGAGGAATGTGGACTTCGATGGCTGCTACGGTAGGCTTCGGACTACTGATAGCATACACTATGTACGTAAGTATCAACGAAATTATTCCCTATTTGGCTACAAGCGTGATGAAAGTATCATGTTCTTCAAAAATTTTGGATTTTCTAAATTCTCAGTGGTGATATGTAAACTGGTCATTCACTTTTCCAGATGTTAATAAGATCAGCACAAAAAATGTATCGTAGGTTAAGGATATCGAAGTTATCGTACCCTGACTTGGCGGAAGCTGCTGCAGCGACTGCCCCTTGGGCTCGTGTCAGAAGATACAGCAAAGTATTCAGGTTAGTCATCCAAGCTTCTAGAATGGCTTGAAACTAATCGACTTCCTCGTCAAACAGTTACGAGAGTTATCTGAAAAACATAATAATACTTTTATTTAATACTAGCTTCTGCCCGCGACTTCGTACGAGCAATCCCGTTTCTCCCATTCCCGTATCCCGTAGCATTTTCAGGAGCTTTTTTCTGTCATAAGAACCTTCTCCTGACGATAACTTTGCTGTTAGTTTATTCTCCGTACCTTCTTTTTCGCTGATTTTCTACTTAAACCCTAAGGTTGACTGGTAGAGAATGCCATATGGCATTAAGTTCGCCTTATGTGCCATAATAAAATTGTGTACATAAAAGAATAAATAAATAAATAATTAAAAATAACAAACACAATAAAAAAAATCAACAAAATCGGTCTCGCCGTTCTCAAGTTATGGCGTGACAACGGGAAACGGGTTTAATTTTTATACATATAGATTTGTAGGGATAAATGTATCTTGTTTTTTTTTTATTTATGAATAGGCCAAGTAAAGTCTATGGTATACTTCTAGTAAGCCAAAAACATAATAGTAATCAATATTATTTCTCATGCACACATGCTGAATTCATATTGTAGGGAGAATATGATTCATGTTCTTTTGGCCCCACATGAGTACCGCGCGCCCGAATACTACAGTTGTACTTAAACATCACGGCATCTCTGTCATTTAACAAGGAGTTTGTAAAATGCATAAAACACATAACTGTACTTAGCGCGACTTAAATTTGAGTGGCGTATGAGTATTTCAGCGCAAGACGTCATCACGTCTCTTCAAGAGTTACCTAATCATTTCGCTTTGCCATTTATTTTGTTAATTACAAAATTACGATTTAAACTTTTCAGATATATAGTCGACTGCACCATATTTATCGAAATGTGTGGAACTTGTTGTATTTACCAAATCATTATTGCGTTCACATTAAAACAGGTAAGTTATACCTAATATATATATTTTACAAATTCTCCATTGACCATTAGCATTCAAGCATTTCTTTGGTTTTTCCGAAAACATTTTTTTACTATAAACTATATTTACTACATTTTACTTTTTTATTATATTTATAAAGCTGAATAATTTATTTGTCTATTCGTTTCAACGCACTGATCTCTGCAACTATTAGTCCGATTTGAATTACCATTTCTGTATTCGATAGTGCATTTATCGAGGAAGGTTATCGGGTAGCATCAAGCTACAATCTGTAGGAGCCAAGCAGAGCGGTGAAACGGCGTGGAAGTAGCTAGTGTTTAATAAGACTGAGTCTAAAATTATGCCCTGTATGGTACCCCCTATATAGTGTCATAGTGGCTCGAAGGTTAATACGCCCGCTTCTCATGCATGAGGATGCGGGCTCGAAACCTACCAACCGCAAGTACCAATGTGACTTTTTCCGAGTTATATGTACTTTCTAAGATTATTCAGACACCACTGACAAACGGTGAAGGAAAACATTGTGGGGAAACCTGGGCTTATAATTTCTAATTATAAGTTTGAAATCGCCAACCCACATTGAGCAAGCGTGGTGATTAATGATCAAACCTTATCCGTGTGAGAAGAGGTTTTGCTCAGCTGTGGGCATTTATAGGCTGTTGATGTGATGGTGTCCCCCTATTACAAGGGACTTGTAACATACCTAGGCACCTCTAGGTATCTGTCGGACTTTGATATATGTATGTATGCTTTGCCCATAACAAGTGAAACAAGTGAAACAAAACAAGTGAAACAAGTTATAGTAGGGGAGCCCATGAAGGGATTTCGGTAGTTACTCGAGCGCGTCAGATTAACATATGGGGAAAAACTAGTGTCCTGTTGAATATACCTACCATATATCCGATCTGATTAGAAAGGGGGGACTAAAAATTAAAAAAAAAGTCTGACTAAATAAAGTCAGTTTCGTCAGATTAAGGGAAGGTAGGTCAATGCCATGCTAAAGGAAGTGTATTTAAAAAATGTGCCCATTCCAACTTGATTTGCAAGAGTGGGGGGATTTTGAAGGGTTCTCGTTGGTACTCTCCAGATCATTCAACTCCACCATGCAAACTGGCAGATTAAGAGTTTTTTATTATCAAAGACACATGAAGCATGTACATTATCAATATCTGACACGCTCGACCACTAGAACAAAAGTTACGCGTAACAGATTCAAAGATCTGTGGATTCCCCCTTCCCCCACCGGTGTAAGAAATTGTCACTAAACCATTTTTTCTTTCTATCACCATATTTTTAAAATCCAGTAAGTTCCAACGACGCTCGAGTAAATCCAAATTTAGCATCGTGGGCTCCCCTACTATGATTTTATTTCTGCAAATAGGCTACAAGGCAGCACTTTGAGACGTCAATTTTATCAAGCGAACGATGAGGTCGACATTTCCTAACTGACTACTCTGAGAAGAAATGCCGAAACAAACTCAGAGGTCTGTCTCTTTTAAAGTCCAGACAATATGTATAACAGATTATGTGTGAGAACCGTGCCAGTTCTTTCTGCAGTGGGCTTTTGAGGAAAGAACCACAACAGTTTGAGCGGACCCGTTCTGAAGGCAGTACGCATGTGTCGGTTTACAGTCAGCTCAATTAACAGGTGAGGTGATTATTAAAAAAAAATATTGAAAACTGTCCACAGATGACGGAAGGGTTACAGACTTCATTTAATACAACTATATGGCCTACATTGTTCGTTGACATACGAATGTACATTCTGATGAGTGCCCCACTTTTAATTCCATTGTGTCTCATCAGGAGTATCAAGTTTATGGCACCATTTGCTATGTTGGCTGATATTTTTGTTGGTAAGAGTATTTTATATGTGACTTAGATAGTTACAAATGTTTTTTGTCCAAATAATCAAATGTTACTCAATTTTAAGTTGTTTAAACCCAAGGATACACTAGGGGGCAAATGTCTCACGATATGTATCGGCGACATGTGAAGCGAAGCCTGCCTATTTCGCCTGATATAATCCTTACTTATATATTATAAATCGGAAAGTAAGTTTGTTTGTTTGTTACGCTTTCACGCCGTAACTACTAAACCGATTGCTTTGAAATTTTGCAGGGGTAAAGTTAGAAGTCTGGATTAAATAATAGGATACTTTTTATCCCGGAAAAATTTGATATTCCCGAGGGAAAACAAAAGTATTGGTACAGATGGCGCTGTGTGTATTGATATATGTCACATAGGCTACTTTTTATCCTTTTGTGACGCGAGCGAAGCCGCGGGTAAAAGCTAGTATTATTATAAGGCGACAACGCGCGCCTTATGTCCACAGCGTTGATGTTGCCCGACATGTCGACCAAAGTCTGCCAACGTCGCGCTACTTCACCCGACACACGCGCTGGCCACACGCGTCGCAAGACATTTGTACCCTAGTATATCAAAGTCAAATAATCATCTTCCATTACTAAACTAAAAATATTCAGATTTTGCAAATTAAGAGGCCTATAAACACATACTATAATATACCTATCCAGCTCAACACAGGACAACTCAATTGTGTGTTCTATTGATAGTAATGCAATATCTTGTCTTAGGTACCTTATATTTTACTGAATTTTTTACTAAGATCAGGCTACCATCATGTATCATTGTTTGACGATTATAACAGCCGCTATCCTTGGCGTAAGTATAGTTCTGTCCCTACAAATTCATTGTATAATGACAGATATAGTACAATATTAATATAATAATAACTTAAAATTGAGTAGCCTCTCAGTATCTGACCTTTAATCACTGAGATAATAATAATAATAATAATAATAATAAGCCTTTATTTATTTCCTTGACCTAATCCTATTACATATTAAGTGTTTCAAAATATAAAAAAGTTTGACTCATTCCAGATATAAAGTTTAAAAAGTAATAATGTTTAATTTAATATCTTAATATTAAGTCATGGTCCCTCTCGGGTATAGGCCTCCTCCAACCGTTTCCAATGTACTCTATCTCTTGCTGTATCCATCCAGTTGTCTCCTGCTACCTTTCGAAGGTCATCGGTCCAGCGGTCTGTGGGTCTGCCTCTAGCTCTCTTGCCTGTTGGACCTTTCCATATTGTGACGAGTTTCGTCCATCGTTCACCCTTCGTTCGTATCATGTGGCCAGCCCATTTCCACTTCAACCGCAGTGCATGCGTTATGGCATTTATAATTTTGGTTTTGTGTCTAATAACAGTGCTTCTCTGTTTATCTTTGATCTTTAGGCCTAAGATGCTTCTCTCCATAGAGCGCTGGCATGTACGTATCTTTGTTTTCGTGTATTTATTGTAGATCCATGTCTGTGCTCCGTATGTCAGGCATGGTAGTATACATGAGTCCATGACTTTTTTCTTAAGATGTAGTGGAAGTTTTGATTTTAATGTTTCTTTCTTGAAAGAAAAAAAAAAGAATCACTGAGATACCTTACGATAATAGTCATCGAAGCAAATAAAAATTTCGCCGACAGATGTGCTTGTGAAAAAGGACCAGTAATGTCTGACTGGTCCTTTTTTGGTAGATTGTGTAGATTGTGTCGGTGTATAGTGTGTTGTAGACTCTTTTATATCAAACGTGTAACATAGCTTATCGAAAGTGGATGCTACATCTCATACTCTTGCAAAACATAACGATATCTTTGGGTAAAATTACATTACGTCATTTATATTCGTCTAATTAACAGCATTTTCTTGTTTCAGCTATTTGTGTAATGACAACATTGTACTATAGTCTAATCTCATTTAATGACGATATCGCTAACAGGCCGGCCTGGAAAGACTTCCAAGGTTTTGTAAAAATTTGTGCTATAAGCTTGTACAGTACCTCTGGAATATGTGTTGCCCTTCCAGTTGAGAACCACATGAAGAGACCACGACAATTTCCTCATGCCTTAAAATATGGTAAGGTTGAATTTTGTGTTACTTGATAATTAAAAATTAACACCAGCAACAAAAATTAATGCTCAAGATTCACGATGCGATGGAGGTGGCGGAATGGAGTTTTATTTTTAAACCTACAAGACCGCAATTTTGCGCAGCCGCCGCAATTGAGATTATCACCCGCAAACTTGGCGGTTAATTATCGCAAGACGAGTTGTTAAACAATCAGTTGAGCTCTAGATCGACCCTCCCGTTGCGATCGCGTGCCAATCGAACCCTCCGCGGATGCGGGACCGTTGGTACAAGACTGCAATACCTACCTACGCGACGTTGTTTCGCTGGCGCCTGGTGGCCGGCTCGCCGTCAACTCGCCGACACGCCCCGCTGACGCGTTGCCGCCGCCGCGCTATCGGCGCGCGGGCGACGCGCCGTAATCACGCAGGCGCCTCGAGAGCACCGCGCGCTGACCGCCCGCCGTCGGCTTTTTGTATTGACGTTACGAAATGTATCATACGACATACGATTTAAGATTCAAATGACAACTTAATGGCTGGGTTGGAGTCGTGCTTTTTAAATGTGGGATGACCTTTACTCGTGTGCTTTTATCCAAAGCAGAATTAGGTTCATAAATCGACTGCTAGGAATTGTTAATTGATATTTTTATCTTTCAGCAACGTTAGTAGTGATAATTTTAACGGTATTGACTGGAGTTTTCGGATACTGGGCTTGGGGTGAAGAGTGTAAAAGTCCAATTACAATACACATGCCACTAGATACGTAAGTTTTTCGATAATTATAACGAAGTTGATTAAAATACTCATTCCTGTGAAGTTTTCAAAATAAGCTCAACTAGTTTCAAGCCATACCGGGATTCATATTCATGAGTTGTATGCGTAGTGTAAGGAACTACATTAGTACAAAGGTACTGTTACACATACTCTAAAATAGCATGCTAAAAAGCGTTCTATAACATGCTCAAAAATGTTAAAACGAACGCCAGTCGATTCACAAACTTGCTTGAAATGAGCATGCTAATTTTGAGCAACATTCCGACACTCATGCTACTAAGTGACAAGTGCTCAATTCAAAGCATGCTTTAGTGCTTGAAATTAAAATAAATAGCAACTGTAGAAGTGTAGATAAAGTGATTAGACTAATAGAACTTAAGACCTCACTAACACCGTCTTATGAGGTGAATGAATATACATATTTGTATTATTTTCTTCAGGTTCACGACAGTTCTTCAATGCCTTCTTGTGTTGATGCTGAGCACTACGTTTGCTGTACAATTCTGGGTGCCCTTTCGAATAGTTTGGCACTATATCATGAAAAATTACAAAAGGTGCGTGCCTTATAAACTTTGTTCTTTCAGTTTAGTTTCTATTTTAAAGACACATTTTCCTACATACATACATAACTTCACCCCTGTCTTCCATTGCTACGATTCTTACATACCTCTTTCGCTTTCTCAACAGTCATCAGTCTTATCATGCACATAATCCTACACTAAGATGTTGGCGCATTAGTATGGCCATCGACCATAGAGGCGGCGACGCGCGGGACGGGGGTATAAAAACCCACGGCCGCGCGAGCGCCGCGCTTCTTCATCCACACACGCCAGCCATAGCATTCGGGCATTTCTTTGTATCGGTGCGAGCCGGTCTTGATTCTGATATGTAGTAATTAAACCTATTAATTGTGCAGTCTTCTGTTTTAATTGAAAATAACCCGACAGAGCTACGACAAAGATTTTTTTAAATACATATGTTGTCCTATATTTGGATTTACTGCTATCCCCGGAATCCAACCACCACTACCACCATATATATGACATGCGTATGGAACCTTGTATGTTTGTAAACCCACCCACGACACAAGAAAAAGGGCTCGTACACAAAAATGCGATGCGATGCGATGCGATGCGAATTCGCAATGCAGAAAATTACGATGCGAATTGCTGCGATGCGATTTCGTGCGACAGGGCGTCTTCCAGGGTTGGTCACCCTGGTTCCTTCGACGACCACTAACCGTACTAAACGTATTTTAAATAGAAAACTAGGTCGTGACATGGATCAAAAAAAGAAGTGTGCACTTCTGTTATTGCTTAGGAGATACAGGAAAAAGAAACAATGAAGATTTTGGGAAGATAAGATTTTGATGCGCGATGCGAATCAATTCGCAAGTTCTTGCGAAGCGTAGAGGAAGCTTGCACATTTTTGCAATGCGACGTCGCATCGCAGTTTTGTGTACGAGCCCAAAATCCTAGTATGGGGCAACGTTTTTTTTTTAAATACAGGTAATATTATTAAATTCAATTAATGTTTTGTTTCCAGCAAACAAGCCTTATGGGAAAGACTATTTCGTCTGGTCATGGCTATTGTAGTGACGTGTGTTACCATGGTATTTCCTCATCTGATTCCAGCTGTGGTTTTCGTGAGTATATTAAAAAAAATGACATAATTATCTATCTGTACAGATAAATAAAACTGGAATGTCTATTTGTAATATAATTTGATTACCTTATATAATTGGTGTAGACCTCGTTAATCTTTTTTTTATGGCGTAAGCCGACAATCGAGCAGACGGATCACCTGATGGTAAGCAATCGGCGTCGCCCATGGACACCTGGAACACCCGAGGCGTTACAAGTGCGTTACCGGCCTTTTGGGGATTAGGAGTTTGAGGATCGTTGGGGATTCAGGAATTGGGGAGATTGGGGAAGGGGAAGGTAATAATCGATAAACAATAAATATATTACTACATGGTTATGATTATACATACGATACATAATTATACCAAAACAACATTTTTTTTGTCTGTCTGCTTGTTTGTACTGGCTAATCTCTGAAACTGCTGAACCAATTTAGACGGGACTCTTATTGGCAGGTAGCTAATGTACTAAGGAGTAACATAGGCTACATAATATACATATATTAACATAACATCACTCCTTTTATCCCCGAAGGGGTAGGCAGAGGCGCACAATATAACACCCACTTTTTACTATTTAAGTTATGAGTCCCATGTTATAGGAGGTGAGCCTATTGCCATATACCGAGCACAGTTCCAGACTCCGTGCTACCACTTAGATTTGTTTTTAAACCCAGTAATCCTTTGCTCGACCTGGGAATCGAACCCGAGACCCCTTGCCCGGCAGTCGCACTTGCGACCACTCGGCCAACGAGGCAGTCATAAGCGAATTAACAAACACAAACCAGCTGTGGTTTAAAAAATTTTAAAACTGTACTGAAATGTAATAATAAATATAAAAAAAAAAATATTAATTAATTTAATTGTTTTTTTGTTGCAGTTAGGACAGTTCTGTTTAGGTTTCATTGGACTAGTGTTTCCAGCATTTATAGAGCTCATGGTCGATTGGGAAGAACTACTTTATTCTAAAAAACTCAGGTAAGTCGTTGTACAAGATATTTTATAGATATGTAGACATGTAGAAATTTATTTTGGGTAAAATGCGAATCTGCCACTTGACAGACAAAAAAAAATCCTATAGAATGCAATTAATCTTATACTATTATACATATAAAGCGGTCTTCCGCTTGTATGTTTTCTTGTTTGTTTGTTTGAACGCGCTAATCTCCGTAACTACAAGTCTGATTTGAATAATTATTTTTGTATTGGATAGCGCATTTATCGAGGATGGCTATAGGCTATAAAACATCACGCTACCATCAATAGGAGCTGAGCAGAGCGTGTGAAACCGCGCGGAAGTAGCTAGTATTGTAATTAATGCGAAAAATTGTTAGTGAGCTTGTATGTCCATATGTTTGTTACTCAATCTCGTCAAAACGGCTGAAGGTATTGGAATGAAATTTGTATTAGGGATAGATTATGGTATAGAATATCACATAGGCTAGTTCTTATCCAGCGGAAATGCGGACAAAAGCACTAGTACTTATATACACTAGCTTCTGCTCGCGAGTTCGTACGCGCAATCCCGTTTTTTCCCGTTCCCGTAGGATTTTCGGGATTTTTTCTGTCTTAAAAACCTTTTCCTACTAATAACAAATACAACAAAAAAAGAATTAGTGAAATCGGTCCAGCCATTCACGCGTGATGCCGTGACCAAGGGAAAAAGGGTTCATCTTCGTATAATATGTAGATTATCTTCATTCTTCAGTCTTCGAAATAACATTCTATTTTTACCGACTTCAAAAAAAGGAGGAGGTACTTATGGCGCCGACTTCTTACCTATCAGTCGGTGGGTAACCTATCAGTACTAATAATAGTTATTTTTGCATTTCAGTTTTGACTTTTTGTTTGTTATTAGTTTTCGGTTTTTTTATTTTTCAGGGATAATTTTGTTCGCAAAACTAAGAACTTTGGTCTCGTTGTATTAGGTTTAGTACTCAGTTTATCTTCAATTTATTCTGCATCAACATAATATAACTAAATGAAGCAAGAATGGAAAACTGAAGAAACTTAGGACGACGTTTAGCTGATTTTTTTAGTCCAAAAGAGCGTAATAGACAGTTTATGTAGGTACCTACATAAAAATTTAATGTTTATGTATTGGTATTTAATCTATGTAAATAATAACATTAGTTTTGCGTTAATAAAATGTTTATTTGAATTTAATTGTTATTGTATTTTTTTTAAGGTCGTAAATTACATTTAGACGATGGACATACAGATTTCATATTCTGGGACACATCTGCTCCGTCTATAACTTGTTTTTGTTCTATGACAAACATTAAATGGCTTAGAAAGCTTAGTACGAGTATGTTTTACGTTTAAAGAGACGAAACCGCGTTCGGCGCTGATTGGTTGGATCATCGGAGCCAGGGTATGGTTTGGAATGACTCATAAGGACATCGTACATCTAATAAGCACGCGTTTAACCCATTAATTAAGTTGTCATTTAAATATAAACTTGTATGTCGTAGGATACTAATATTATAAATCGGAAAGTGAGTTTGTTTGTTTGTCCAGCTTTCACGCCGTAACTACTAAACCGATTGCTTTGAATTTTTGTACACGTAAAGTTAGAAGTCCGGATTAAACTGTCAAACACCAAGCAGTCACCGGTGACCGCAACCTATCTATATATATAAAATTCAAAGGTGATTGACTGACTGACTGATTGACTGACTGACATAGTGATCTATCAACGCACAGCCCAAACCGCTGGACAGATTGGGCTAAAATTTGGCATACAGATAGATGTTATGACGTAGGCATTCGCTAAGAAAGGATTTTGATAATTTCCACCCCCAAGGGGGTAAAAAAGGGGATGAAAGTTTGTATGAGACTTTGTCAGTTTTAAACCGATCGGGTTGTAATTTGGCATGCAGATAGATGTTATGACGTAAGCATCCGATGTGAAAGGATTTTGATAATTTCCACCCCCAATGGGGGTAAAATAGGGGATGAAAGTTTGTATGAGACTTTGTCAGTTTTAAACCGATCGGGTTGTAATTTGGCATGCAGATAGATGTTATGACGTAAGCATCCGATATGAAAGGATTTTGATAATTTCCACCCCCAAGTGGGTAAAATAGGGGATGAAAGTTTATATGAGCCTTTGTCAGTTTTAAACCGATCGGGTTGTAATTTGGCATGCAGATAGATGTTACGACGTAGGCGTCCGCTATGAAAGGATTTTGATAATTTCCACCCCCAAGTGGGTAAAATAGGGGATGAAAGTTTATATGAGCCTTTGTCAGTTTTAAACCGATCGGGTTGTAATTTGGCATGCAGATAGATGTTACGACGTAGGCGTCCGCTGTGAAAGGATTTTGATAATTTCCACCCCCAAGTGGGTAAAATAGGGGATGAAAGTTTATATGAGCCTTTGTCAGTTTTAAACCGATCAGGTTGAAATTTGGCATGCAGATAGATGTTATGACGTAAGCATCCGCTTTGAAAGGATTTTGATAATTTCCACCAAGGGGGTAAAATAGGGGATGAACGTTTGTGTGAGGCTTTGTCAGTTTTACACCGATCGGGTTGAAATTCGGCGTGCAGATGGATATTATGACGTAAACGTCCCTTTAGAAAGGTTTTTGAACATTCTCACCCCAAAGTATGATACTTTGCCAGTTTTAAATTGATCGGGCTGAGACTTTGCATGCATAAAGTTACTATGACATAGGTATCTCTTTAGAAAGGATTTTGATAAATTCCACCCCTAAGGGGATAAAATAGGGAATGAGAGTTTGTATAAATCTTCTTAGCCGTTGAATTTAGAATCATTGAATCTTTTTGAATTACATTCGGTAAAACGATGATTTGGGACCTGGGTAACGTATGATAGTTTTTTCACAGATGTCTCACGAGAACGGGAACTATGCGTCAATGCCCCAGGACTCTCTAACTCTTAACCACTGAACTTATTCTAGAGAGATTCGGTACAACAATAGTCGATAGAATAGTTTTTATTACTCAAACCTTACGTGATCGGGCACTGTACTGGTAAGATCCCTGCGGGATTATTTATTTATTGAAACTACGATAAATCATTTCAAAATAGGTAAATCTTACTTGGGCACTGAATTGATTCTGGTTAATTCTGTCAGAAGTCATTAATCTACGCGGACGAAGTCGCGGGCAACAGCTATCTACACATATAATAAATCGTAGAAAAGTCAAAACTGTACATTGAATATTTTTTAAAAGAATATTTGAAGCGTGATCTCTAATCGATACCGAAGCCAATAATGTGGTTTTTAGAATTTTTGTCTGTTTGTCTGTATGTATGGCCGTGATGATCTCAAAAAGTACTGCACTACTATTTCAAATTTTGCATGAATATTACTAACAAGTCTGGTAAACATATAGGCTACATATTATCACGCTATCATCTACGGGACTGAATCAATTCTGACGACATCCATTACCGTAGAATATCCCTTGATAAAAACGAAATCAAAAGCCTAAATTCTGCCAGAAGTCATTATTCTACGCGGACGAAGTCGCGGGCAACAGCTAGTTGTTCTATAATTGTGTCTACAAAACCGGTACTCGACGAGTTAAATAATAGGGTACTTTTTATTTTGGAAAAATTTGATGTTCCCGAGGGAAAACAAAAGAATTGGTATAGATGGCGCTGTGTGTATTAGTATATGTCACATAGGCTACTTTTTATCCTTTTGTGATGCGAGCGAAGCCGCGGGTAAAAGCTAGTATTTCATAACGTTAATGCAAAAAGCTGACGACTGGTGGTCAGCGCGCAACTCAGTGTAGTTGAGTGTGCCACGTGCTTAGGGCGAGCCGTCCACCAGGCGCTAGCGAAACAACGTCGCATCGTAGGTAGGTATTGTTGATACTACACTTGTGCCGACAGTGCTCCGGCGCCGCGAGTTGGAAGCGCGCGGTCACCGCGCCCACGCCGGGCCAACAAGTTTGATTTACGTTTAAACTGTCAAACACCAAGCGGTCACTGGTGACCGCAACCTATTGTTCTATAATTGTGTCTACAAAACCGGTACTCGACGAGTTAAAGTATTCGAAACGAGTACGCGTTCGGCAATCTGATTGGTTGGTTCATTTTAGCCGGCCAATCACAGTGCCGAACGCGTACTCGTTACGATTTCTTTAAACGTAAAACAAACTCGTACTAAGGCCTCAGAACTGTGCTTGTTAGATGTGCGTTGGCATCTAGGCTACATTTTATCCCACAATAGAAGGCCACGAAGCTGCTGATAGAAGAGCATCAGTCTGTTCTTCATTTACCAGTACATCAGTTTGCAATACTACAGGTTGACATAGCTTGTTTTAAATGTTCTTATCATAAATGTTTTTGAATAAAACAATTAATCAGTTTATTAGACGAGTTTGTCTTCTAAATCCTCTATTGGTTAAGAAGCACGCGTTGTGTATACCATAGTAAATAAGCGTTCTAGTCTTAGGGCTCGTACACAAACCTGTGATGCGATGCGATACGCAATTCGCAACGCAAAAAAATACGATGCGAATTGCTGCGATGCGATTTCGTGCGATAAGGCGTGTCTCCCAGGGTGACCATTCCTTCGACGACCGTCAACCGTACTAGACATATTTTAAATTAGAAACTAGGTCGTGACATGGATCGTAAAAAGAAGTGTGCAGTTATTTTATTGGTTAGGAGATATATGAAAAAGAAACAAAGAAGATTTTGGGACGATAAGATTTTGATGCATCGCGCGAATCAATTCGCAAACTCTTGCGATGCATAGAGGTAGCTCGTACATTTTTGGGATGCGACGTCGCATCGCAGTTTTGTGTATGGGCACATATCTAGAGGTTATTAAATCGAGGCCTGAAAATGTAGCGAAATGGTTCCAGTAAAGGATGTTACGGCAGTGTCTGCTTCGCGCTTGACTTGGCGAGAAGAAGAATAAGAACAATGAAGTAGGTATCCCTGTAATTATAGTGTAGGCACATGAACACAAAATCAGTAGGATATGGAACAGCAGTTATCATTACTGTTTAATAGCCTCTGGGGATCGCGGTGAGGTGGCCGTGATACCCGGATATGCTCGGGTATACCTATTAGCAAACTATGCGTAAAATCATGCTCTAAAGTTGTAATAATCCACAATGCTCTAGAGGTTTTAAATTGTACGTCATCAAAAAGAGATATCAAGATGAAAGGTTCTAATAGACCAATCAATTTAACTGTCACAAGGTAAAAATTGAATAAATAACGAAATCCCCAACGATCCTCAAACTCCTAATCTCCAAAAGGCCGGTAACGCACTTGTAACACCTCTGGTGTTTCAGGTGTCAATGGGCGATGCCGATTGCTTACTATCAGGTTATCCGTCCAATCGATTACCGGCTTAGGCCATAAAAAAAATAAATCTCACTTTTTTGAGGGGCAAAATCACACAATGGTTCCTCTCGTATTGGGTGAGACCGCAGGGAGTGTCAGACTCTTACTGACTAAAAACTACGCCGTTCTTACTCCTATTTCGAGCCGATGCCCGGATAATCCGTTAGGTCGTCCACAGCTTCAGAATAAAACCTACTTATGACAAAAACATAACCCTTTATCCCCGAAGGCATAGGCAGGGTTCCCATTACGGCATTTAATGCCACTGTACAATGTAGCACCTACTTTTCACTATTTATGTTATGGGTCCCCTGTAAAGAGAATTAGCCTATTGCTATATACCGGACACAATTCCAGACACCATGGTACTACTGAGAGTTTAAAAAAAACCAGTAATAATTTACCCGACCCGGGAATTGAACCCGAGACCCATTGCTCAGGACCCGCAGTTGCGACCACTTGGCCAATGAGGCAGGCACACCTATTTTGCAAAACCTACTAATGGTTTAAATTTATTTTGAAACTTAATCAGTTTTGCCAAAAGTCGTTACGTTTTGGAATGAGCACCTAGCTTCACCTAGCTTCACTGACGGACTGACTGACAGACTATTATTTATTTTGTATTTGTTGACGTTTCAAAAGTGCCAAACTATGGTTTAATTGAAATAAATGCTTTGACTTTGACTTTGACTTTCCTACAACTGCTCACCCTCAATGCTGCAATAATCACTGATATAATCGGCAATAATTACTATTAAACTAACATGGACCACCAAGGATAAAATTATTATTATACTTATATGTAAATGTTCGAGAGACAAGATTATGTTCCGGTTGCTCAGACATATGTAA